AGCGAGCGAGCTTTTTCTTTATAGCTTTTTCCTTATAGCTCGCTCAACTCCTTGTCATTCGCGCTCGCTCGCTCTTCGTCGCGCTCGCTCGCCTCTTGTCGCTTGCGCTCGCTCGCTCCTCGTCGTTCGCGCTCGCTCGCTCCTCATCGCGCGCACTCGCCTCTTGTCGTTTACGTTGCTCCTCGCCACGCGCGCTTGCCTACCGCCACTCGCTGACTCTGCCTGTATCAAATGTCTACGTGCTTACTGCAGTCACCTTCCGCTCTCTACGCGCTCGTTGGCTCACATGTTTTAATTAATAACTCGATAACTATTGGCAATTTGACATTGTGGTACATGACTTTTCTTTTCAGCTACACCCAATCTATCTCCAATTTTCGTCTGCATGATCAGCTATCAAACACCCTGTATATATTTTCTCACAGACTTTGGACAAACGTGTGTGTGCTGCGTTGTCAATTCTTCTTTTCTACACATAGATCTTATATGAATGTGAATGCGACGCTGCCAATATTTTCTTATTCTCCGAAATATGCTTTTTGCTCCTATTTCTCCGATTCTTCGACTTGTTGATATATACGGTATAACATAATAGAGAATAATTTATGCAATGAATAATATTCCACAGAAATTATGCTTCGGAAGATTTAGAGGGACATATTATATAATGCTGAGCTGTGAAATTTTTATGAGGATTTATAAATTTAAAATAAGTTCAATAACAGTTTAAAAAAAAATAGTACGTTAGATTTTACATGATCCGGCTGCTTACATATCGTTTCATTTTATTTTCACTCTCTTTCTCACACTCTCTCCCTCTCCCTCCTCTCTAAATTTCAAACTGTATACGCCTAATACATCGTATGTTGGAGTCGGATATTATACTTATATTACACTACAGGAATTATTTTTATGATTTATAATATTAGGTGCGCAACTAAGTTCCCGCTGTTTTTCAAGAGATGGCTCCAGTAGTAAGTGCTGGTCGATTGTGACATAACCAAAACGTTATGAACCAAGCTTAGACATATGGTAAACAAACCGCTTTGACACATTAGTGATTTTGTTTTTGCGTCATATACTTTTGGTTGTGTGAAAATGTCTTATTTTGTGCCAAATAATCGTCATTTGCGGGAAGTGTTGCTCTTCTCCTTTCATTCGAAGAAAACGGCGGCTGAAGCGCATCGAGAACTCCAAAAAGTTTACGAAGATGCTGCTCTAAGTGAAACAACGTGCCGTGATTGGTTCAAGTCGCTTCAAAGTCGCTTCAAAGACGGTGATTTCGATGTTAACGACCGTTCGCGTGAAGGAAGGCCAAAAACCTTCGAAGACGCTGAATTGGAGGCATTGCTCGATGAGGATCCCTGCTAAACGCAAAAAGAGCTTGCTTCAGCATTAGAAGTTACCCGCCAAGCCATTTCCAAGCGATTGCATGCGTTGGGAATGATTCAAAAACAAGGAACTTGGATTCCTTATGATTTGAAGCCAAGAGACGTTGAGCGTCGTTTTTTCGCCTGTGAACAACTGCTCCAGCGGCAAAAAAGGAAGGGTTTTCTTCATCGCATCGTTACGGGTGATGAAAAATGGATTCATTACAGTAACCCAAAGAGAACAAAATCATGGGGACTGCCCGGTCATGCTTCTACGTCGTCGGCTCGGCCGAATATTCACGCTGCGAAGGTTTTGCTGTGTATTTGGTGGGACCAGGGCGGTGTTATTTATTATGAGCTGTTGAAACCGAATGAAACCATCACTGGGGAACGGTATCGAACTCAATTGATGCGATTGAGCCGAGCACTGCGCGAAAAGCGGCCACAATACGAGCAGAGGCACGAAAAAGTGATTCTACAGCATGACAACGCTCGGCCTCACGTTGCCAAACCCGTTAAAACCTACTTAGAAACGTCCTACCCTACCCGCCATATTCCCCAGATATTGCGCCGTCCGATTATTACTTGTTCCGTTCGATGGCACATGGTCTGGCTAATCAGCAGTTCCGCTCATATGAAGACATCTCAAAATGGCTTGATTCGTGGATAGCCTCAAAAGACGAACACTTCTACCGTGACGGTATTCGAGCTCTGCCAGAAAGATGGGAAAAAGTTGTCGCTAGCGATGGGCAATATTTTGAATGATTCATTTGTAACCATTTTTTCACAATAAAGTTTTTCACAATAAATTTTCATCAAAAAAACAGCGAGAACTTAGTTGCGCACCTAATATTTATTCTAAACTTTATATGAATCAGCTAGAATGGCGCGCGCGTAAATAAAAGAGACAGAGAGGGACAGCGAGAGAGAGAGAGAGAGAGAGAGAGAGAGAGAGAGAGAGAGAGAGAGAGAGAGAGAGAGAGAGAGAGAGAGAGTATAAGAGAGAGAGAGAGGGAGGGAGAGAGTGTGAGAGTGAGGGAGAGAATGTGAGAGAGAGAGAGGGAGGTAGGGAGGGAGAGAGGGGGAGAGAGAAGATGAGAGAGGGGGAGGGGGAGATGTTTAGGGATAGCGGGTGAGAGTAGGAGAAGGAGGGCTAGAGAAAAAGGAGAGTATGAGGGAGAGAGTGTGAGAGAGAGAGGAGAGGAGGGAGGGAGGGAGGGAGGGAGAGAGAGAGGAGAGTGTGAGGGAGAGAGTGTGAGAAAGAGAGGAAGGGGGGAGAGAGAGGCAGAGAGGGAGGGGGATGAGTGAGTGAGTGAAAAGAAATAATAGGGCCGATAGTCAAAAAGTAGGGAACGTTATCATCTGTTACCGACGTTAGTGAATTTTGGTATACATGTGTATATACAGAGTGTCTTAAAAATGCCGGACTCCCAGGATAACTTTGCAGGATCAAGTTTTCATGAGAAACATTAAACATAAAAGTTGTAGAAAATCGAGTGACGGACTTGATGGTGACCATGAATTTGACATTGGCCATGACCTTCAAGGTCATTTGGAAGTTAACATGCGTTTTTTAAATGGGAACCCTTATTTTTTATTACACTGTTTTTTTATCTCTCCTTCCCTCCCTCCCTCCCTATCTCCCTCCCTCACTCTCTCTCTCTCTCTCTCTCTATCTCTCTCTCTCTCTCTCTCTCTCTCTCTCTCTCTCTCTCTCTCTCACATACTCTCTCTCGCACTCTTCCTCCCTCACATTCTTTCTCTCACACTCTCCTCTCTCTCATACTCTTCTATCTCTTACACTCTCTCTCACTCACATTTTCCCTCCCTCACACTCTCTCTTTGTCACACTCCCTATTTCTCACAATCTCTATCCCACACTCTTTCTCTCACACACTCTCTCTCACAAAATCTCTCTCTCTCTCATATTCTCTCTCTCTCTCTCTCTCTCTCCTCTCTCCTCTCTCTCTCTCTCTCTCTCTCTCTCTCTCTCATAGTCTCTCTCTCTCTCTCTCTCTCTCTCTCATAGTCTCTCTCTCATAGTCTCTCTCTCTCTCTCTCTCTCCCTCTCTCTCTCTCATTCTTTCTCTCACACACTCTCTGTCTCTCTCACACACTCTCTCTCTCTCATTCTCTCTCTCTTACACTTTATCAAAGCCCTTTCGCATAGTCAAAATACATGCAAAGATGAAGCGAAACATTGCCATGCAAAAGGATTTGAAATTCAGTCCAGTCAGTACGACGTAAATTTTCAATTACACATAAAGTTTTTCTAGGCTGATATAGAATATTAATTTCATATTGAGCAATGCTCCGTTTCATATTCCTACACATGTGCTTTCCCTTTATAAAAGTATTCTCAATTCGGCGCATCGAATTTTTCATCATTTTTCCAAGACGTTTCTTATTACTATTTTTTATTTTCGTACGAATATTTATTATGTGAAGCGAAAAGGTTTTCAATTTGGTACAGCCAGGGCGACGTAAACTTTGCAAGAAGGACTCGTTGTCCTAATCGCGATAGTTACTCATCGTTTTTCTCAGATGATTTGCATTATTCCATTTTATTTTGGCAGGAATATACACTATACGAAAGACTTTTTCATTCCGTGCGGCCAATGCGACGTAAACTTTATAAGAAAGTGTCGGTGTTCTAGTCGCAATAGTTTCTCATCGTATTTCTAACATGTTTTCTATTACTCCACTTTATTTTGGCAGGAATATTTGCCGTACAAAAGCGTTTTCAATTCCGTACTGCTAGTGCGACGTAAACGTTGCAGAAGGAAGTCGGTGTCCTATCGCAATAGTTTCCCATCGTTTTTCTCGGATAACTTGAATTACTCCGCTTTATTTTGACAGAAATATTCACTGTACAAAAGCGTTTTCAATTCCGTACTTCCAGTGCGACGTAAACGTTGCAGGAGGAACTCGGTGTCCTATTCGCAATAGTTTCCCATCGCTTTTCTCGGGTGATTTGTAATACTCCGCTTTATTTTGATAGGAATATTGACTGTACGAAAATGTTTCCGTACTGCTAATACTGCTAAGCCAGGGCGACGTAAACTTGACAAAAAGAAGTCGCTGACACGATAAAGTGAGAAGCCGATTTACGTGAAAACAAGCATACTATTTCTGAAGAATCATTTTCTTGTAATAATATTCATTGCTTAAATTATTTTTTATTATGTTACACTATATATATATCAGCGAATCGAAGAATCCGAGAAGCAGCAGCAAAATGCACATTTCGGAGAGAAGGCAAATATCGGCAACGTCGCATTCACATTCATATAAGATCTATGTGTAGAAAAGTCGAAATGACAATGCACACACACATTTGTCCGAAGTCTGTGAGAAAAGATATATATGGAAAAATGCGATGAAAGGATAGCATAATCGCATCAGCAATTATCCGGCAATTGTCTTTACTATATAAATACTATGTAAATATATATACACATATGTGTACCAAAATTCACTAACGTCGATAACAGATGATAACGTTCCCTATTTTTTGATGATCGCCTCTACGTTATAGACGCTTTGCAAGTTCGTTGACGACTCCAGGATCCCCTTAATGCTAGCGAATGATCTGTCGATGTGTTTATCTATTAGACAATAATTACTTACCTGACTTTACTTATCCTGAACTTTGATATATCGCTGATGAATGTATCTCTAAACTTTATCATAGGGATAAAATCATTTGTGAAAATCATTTTGTTCAATTATATATAATATGGCACGAAAGCGGGTATGCTCAAAAGCGGAACACCTTGCGCTAGGTAAGGCTTCATCGATTCCAGGCTTTGCGGTAAGCATCTTTGGAGTTCTGATCTTGGACATGTGTGTAGATTCGGTACTAACAACAAAATAAAATGTCTTTGTAATCTTTCCTGCAAACGTATATCAAAGCGTCGTAAGTCATCAATCTCATGTTCGATCCGGAAAGCGTGCGATTCTCGCGAGAAGAAAATTCGACGCGGTTCGACTAATATATAAAATTGCTCATATCTATCACAAGATAGTCGCATAAAACTGAGCACCATACATGCTCATACTCGTTGGAGAGTATTACTTTATCCGATGATCGCGGTGTTACTTACATATGGTTTTTAGGTGGAAGGCAGATATGTTCGCGATGAAGCCGCTCGTTATAACGAGGAGTGTAAAGATGATACGCATTTTGCTTGCGGAAAGGTTCTTGCTTCCATTGGAACTTAACGAAATGCTGAGCGATTTCAAAATGCAGATTTATCGGCAGTGGTGTAATCGTGTGGTTTCGAAGATAATTCAATCACCTTGCGCTGTTCTCGACTTCATGACTTCCGTTAACATACCACGTTGAGGGCATATTTTAAACATAACGATCACGTGTCGACAGGATGTAAATCACGAGTTGTCTCCTTGTTTAGCGTTGAGGCGGAGACATAGTGAGAGAACAATGATAAATATGTAAACACTTGACAAATGTTTTCGCTAAATCCTTGCAAAAAATCTTCCTTCGCGATTGCTATCCGCCGAGGCGATTATTTGGAACGAAATAATTTGTCAATTAAAATTATAACATCGGTTTTTATCTTAACGCATTACGTTAAATTGGCGACTTGAATTGATGACGTCAGGTTTCGAAAAGTTAACATTTGGAAAGATCGATTCGCATCTACATCTGGAAATTCTGTTTGGTAGATTTTCACGAGGAATGATAATGCGCTGAACGAGAAAATATTTGAATTAGAAAGATATATCTCTCCTGATTTTTAATAATTTTGACTTATACTATTATCTGTTTAGGACCGCATAAAATATTTTCTGTGGATGTTTATACACGTATATAGCTTTCACGTTAAATCAACCAAGGATTAATGTACTATACTTCAAATTTTTTCTTTAACATACATAACTCTTTATTACGTGTTCTCAGAATACAAAATCACTTTGTATCATATTTGCATTGCGATATTTGTGTGATGAAATTGTCAGCAATATGGAGGTGTTAGAAGGATGCTTTATTTTACAAACGAGGTTGCTCATTAAATCATCGGTTATGTTCTAAGTTGTATAGAAGAAACAAAGTCTATTCTCGTTTGCATAACGGTTTATAAATATTACGACAAAGTTACAAGCGTACAGAATGTTTAAAATTGTTCGATGATTGGTTATGATAGAAGGCGGTGTGCTAATATAGGAGATATCATCCGACGTTACAACTCTAACGAGAGATTCGCGATGATTCCACGTATTTTTATTAAACTTTTACCTACCAAGATAAAAATACAATAAAAATATAATAAACTATTTACATCATGTACAATCATTCGAATTTTATTATAACTGTTTGTTACCCTCGCATCCTTGATCATTTGATGAACTTGGTTTTAACTTCGTCAGAAGAGACGTTTTGTAAATCGGTGCATGTGAATAATCGCTTAATATGAAATAATAAATTGCATACAATTGATTGTCCTGAAGATTAATATTTGTCATACAGTGATGGGTGTTTCATTACAACGATAAAACAAAGACAACTGCGCATCTAGAAAATCAGCAATTCGTGAATTGGATATTTCAAGAAGATTTTATTCGCAATTGTTTGGATAATATCAGAGGCGAATAATTGAATTATATGCATGTTTCGAACTGGGAATATATAGCTATAGCTCCCCAGTTGTTATGCAGATAGGAATTTATGTCGATGACTGCTTTGGAGTACCATTGACTTATTATTTCCGTGGTGATGTCCACATCCCCTATACTTTCGAATATTATGTTGACATAATAAACGTTGAAATATCTATAGGCCGTTGTCCAGTGCTCGCTATATCCATCTTGTATAATGATGCTAGCGTTGATATTCGTCAAGTCGTTCGTTATAATGTGAGACGTGACAAACGCAGTCTTACTATATGAGTTGTAGTTAGCTGACACATTGATCGATAGAAAGTATGCGTTAAATTTAATCCCATGTATACTGCAGATAAAGCTGCTGAAAGTAATACTGAAAACCACAATTTTATGTTTGTCTTGCACTCATCTGTGCTTACGTGATCTGTGATTGAATTCATCATGTGGGTCGCTTTTGCAGAATAAGGCTATCGATCGATTTTACGTCGATCCACATGAATACAATTATCCTTCATCTGAATCGTGCGTGAATTATTCAGAGATGTATCTCGACCGGTGTACGTCAATTTGTATATTAATAATGACTTACTGAACATTATGTATCGTGAAGTCTGGAATGCCATAGATAATTATGTCCGAGATCGAAAGGAGAGTAACAGAGTCGTCTTTGACGAAGTAAGGTACATTATCAACACGATAGGGATCGGAAGAAGTCAGGTTGCGTGACGCCGATTTTTAGGAGTTGTTTCATCAACTCAATACTGTGTGTTAGGCACGCATTGACCGTTTCTGTTTTGGCCCGTCGCAAACATGTTTGCAGATAGTCTACTACATAATAACATAATAGAACATAATAAACTTGCAACTTCTTCTCTGTGCAAAGATGAAAGTGTACGTAATTTCCTACGCGTTTGATTCGGTAAACGCGTGGTTCAACATTAGGAAAAAAAATGTAGTATCTCTAACAAAACTGTTTAGTTGAAGCATTTTTAAATAGCAACCAAATATTTTTTATTTTATATAACATGTTTTATACAACAAAATATATTTAGTTGCCTCAACTAAATATATTTTTCTGCTTTGTTCTCTGGACCAAATGACTTCATATATAAAAATTAAGCATTTTACTAGGTGCGCAACTAAGTTTCCGAATTTCACACATGGATGGCGCTAACGACACATGTAGTCGACATACATGTCTGAAGTTGTGTTTTTTTATAACTTGGACATCTGTTAACAATAACCAGTCGTAATACCAACACATATCGCAACGCAAAAATATTTTTTCTAACAACGAAGATGTCGAGTTTTGTGCCAAATAAACAGCATTTGCGGGAAGCTTTGCTTTTCTGCTTTAACTTGAAAAAAAGTGCAGCTAAAGCACGTCGTTTGCTTGAGGAGGCCTACGGCGAACACGCACCATGGAAAACTACCTATGAAGATTAGTTTAAACGCTTCAGAAGTGGCGATTTCGACACTGAGGACAAGGAGCGCTCCGGAAGACCACCAAAAACAATTAAGGACGCCGATTTGCAAGCGTTATTGGATGAGGATGATATGCAAACACAAGATCAACTTGCGGAGATAATAAACATGACTCGCCAAGGTATTTTCAAATGTTTACATGCCATGGGAAAAATTCAAAAGGAAAGAAAATGGGTGCCGTATGAGTTAACCGAGAGACAGATGGAAAATCGAAGAGCCACTTCCGAAATTTTGCTTTTGCAGCATGAAAGAGAGAGTTTCCTACATCGAATTGTTACTGGCGATGAGAAGTGGATATATTTCGATTATCCCAAACGCAAAAAATCGTGGCTTTCACCTGGCGAAACATCAACATCGACGGCACGTCCAAATCGCTTCGGAAAGAAGACAATGCTCTGCGTTTGGTGGGACCAGAAAGGAATCGTGTACTATGAGGTGCTGAATGAGCGGGCGAAACTGTCAATGGGCATCGCTACCGACAACAACTGATCAATTTGAACCATGCATTGCTCGGAAAACGGCCAGAATGGGACACGAGACACGAACGAGTGATATTGAAGCACGACAACGCTCCGTGCCATCGCACTTCCATCGTCCAGGACACCATCAAAACGCTGAAATGGGATCTGCTACTGCACGCGCCGTATTCGTCAGACCTGGCCCCTTCCGATTATCACTTGTTCCGGTCGATGGCGCATGGCTTGGCTGGGCAACACTTGGCCAATTTCGAAGAAGTGCAAAATTGGTTGGATGAATGGTTTCGGTCCAAAGACGCGTCGTTTTATCGTCGCGGTATTCATGTATTGCCAGAGAGTTGGCAAAAATGTGTAACTAGCAAGAAACGATATTTCGAATAAACAATTTTTTGTATTTCTCTTGAAATTTTCCATTTTTCATTGATCAAAAAACCCGGAAACTTAGTTGCGCACCTAGTACTTTACTTTGATACAAAGTTTCATATTTTTTTGAATTTCCGGGTTCCCAACCTTTTCTTGTTATTAGCAATGATAATGGCGAGCCGATTATTACATGACAGTTGCAGAATCATATTTTGCGATGTTTAGCTGTGGACTTTATCAAACAATTTGATAAAGTTCACAGAAGATTGTGTCTAATGATTGCTTTGCGAAACACTCTGTCATATCTTAAAGCAAAAAAAAGGAAAAGGGAAAGGATTGCTTGTCATTCTGTTGATTTATGGAGCATTAATCGGAGCAATCATATCCATAGCCAGTAATCTTCCATTCGAGATGAATTTTGATGTAACATGAGAAATGTTTTGTATACACTATACTGTAATCAGGAATTTTTTGTTATGCTGCAATTTTACGTACATTATACACAGCTATAGCTCATTATTTATGAAGGATATTGTAACATTACCAGCTGAACCATTTTCCGCGGATGATTCAATAAACAAAAAACTTATGTATATATTCCCTGATTAAGAAACCCGTCGGTGTCTTGTCTATAAATATCGAAGGATAACGGAAAGAGCCGATTAGGCTGCGAATTTTATTCCGCGGTGACCGAAAATAAGCCCGTTCCGACCATAAAAATCAAACGTTTCATTGTCTCTTCGAATTCGTCCTCTCTGGGAAGTCTTTATCACTCATTATGTTTCGTCTATCACGCGCGATATATGAATCAGATTATTCGTAAATGCGTGCCGCGGTTGTACGTGACAAATAATGTCAAAGTGTGTGGCAGGTCGACTCTCAGACCGTCGTACATAATTCCTCACTTTTATTTGTTTTATTTGTTTTTTATCCTGAGTGATCTCGTTTCCGTGAAACTATTCAGGATTTACATCGCACACTTAATCGGAATCTCATACGATGAGATGAGAATTGAACGAGAAGCTATTTATTAGAGGCTAATTTGTAGACAATCTTCGACAAGGCTGCGATTGGTTTCATAAGAACGGCGTATGAGATGTGATGAAACCGCGACGTTAAGTAGCAAAGATGGAAAAGCTGTTTGAACTGGCCGCGTTGGCGAAGGCGAGCTTTCGCGAACGTTAAAGTCTGCCGAGAGTTTCTGACTTACAACGTCTCTCCTTTTCGGCGATCAGCCAGAGAGAACCTCGTCGAGTAACTTGCTCGTGGCAGCCAAGGCTTTTTCGCAGCCTTGGCGATGCTCTCGGCATAATCGCGACGACGTTCGGCGGTTCTTAAGAATGTAAACAAATTGAATGGTTTCAATGCAACATTGCTAGTACTTATTGATTAACCTATTAATTGATTGAATAACACCACGGAACGTTTGCATATATTCGCGAACTTTAGCCAATCGGCGATAAAACTCGTTCATACACCCAAAAAAAGTATTCTATTTGTAAAATGATTTTTTTCATAGTCTTATATTTATACGTGAAGCTTTTTACAGGAAAAGGATTCCTCTTTCGACAAAGTGATTAAAGTGAACCATTCATCTAAAATTTGTTGGATATTATTCTAACTATTTTCCTTTTATGTCAAGAGGATTTCCTCTTATATAAATTAATTTTCCTCTTATATGAAAAGGAATATGTTGATTTAAATGTCGGCTTATTTTCTTCAGTCATTCTCTGTCTCACGACTTAGACATGAACGAAAAAATAAGCATATCCTCATTGGTTAGAATATTTAGAACGCTTTTAAAAAAGATGTGTGTGTTGTTTTAACATATAACGAAGATAATTTACCCATATTTGGTCAAATACAGTTTAGAATCTATTGCAAGAAGTTGAATAATATATATATCCCTTCTTTTAACTATGTTTCATATAATTGGTTATGATAAACATTTTTGTAGCTATAAAACTCATAACAAAACTGATTAGAAATTTATTTGTCATGATGATCTTATTTCATTCGTGCCTACTTATTGTCAAACTAGAGCTAGAGGTACATTTATATATATATATATTACTTTTCGCTATACGTTATAATAATTTTTTCAAATTAACCAGTATAACCGGTAAGAATAAAGTTCGGTAAGAATAAATAATAATCCTTTAAAAAGATATTAAATAATCTTTGTATAAGAGGAAATTTAAATTAAAATCAATAAGATTTGCATTATATATATAACATATATACAGGGTGCACGATTTATCTGAAGACATTGAAATATTTCGAGAATTATGTATTGGATAAAAAAAAGTGGTTAATGAAAGTTGTTAGTCTCGAAGGGAGACATCCAATGATACCAAACTCGACCTCCCACTCCACCCCCTGGGGGTGGGGATTGGGGGCAACTTTGATATCTTAAGTGGAAACCCCCATTTTTATTGCAGATACAGATTCTACGCCACAAAATACGTAAATTTTGTCCGAAACTTTTTTTTCGATTCGTGATAGATGGCGCTGTAATCGCAAAAAATTATATTTTCCGCAATTCTCCAGAAATGATCATTGGATTGAGAAATAAAAAATACCTGTTCAATATTTTTAAACACATAATAAAAGTTATTAAAAAGATAAGGTTTATCAACCTAACTTAAAATATAAGGTTTATCAACAAGTGCCAACAACTCGTGAAAACATGGTAGAACGCATAAGAAACGCTTGCGCTGAAACTCCTGCATATATGCTTCTATCCTGTGTACAGTCATTTGAAAAAAGGATCAATAAGTGTATTGAAGTTGAAGGTAAAAATTTCAAACACTTACTCTAATTAATTGAACAGTGAGAGGCAAGGGGACTCACATTAAAAAAGCACCCCGATCTGTGAGAGGCAAGGGGACTCACATTAAAAAAGCATCCGAAGGGAACATAAAACTACTACGTCCTCGTCGTTGTTCTTGTGTAACGTTAAAAGTAGTTTCTCGGAAAAATTCAACGCTACCTATCACGAATGAAAAAAATTGTTTCAATAAAAATTTCACATACAATCTAATTCTGCAATGAAAAATGTGGGTCCCCATTTGAGATTTGAACGTTATCACCCACCTTACCCCGAGAGGATGGGGGGGGGGAATAACTTTTATTATGTTCATTAAAAATATTGATCAGGTATTTTTTATTTCTCAATCCAATGATCATTTCTAGAGAATTGCGGAAAATATAATTTTTTGCAATTACAGCGCCATCTATCACGAATCGAAAAAAAAGTTTCGGACAAAATTTACGTATTTTGTGGCGTAGAATCCGCATCTGCAATAAAAAATGGGGGTTTCCATTTAAGATTTCAAAGTTGTCCCCAACCCCTACCTCCAGGGGGTGGGGTGGGAGGTCGAGTTTGGTATCATTGGATGTCCCCCTTCGAGACTAACAACTTTCATTAACCACTTTTTTTTATCCAATGCATAGTTCTCGAGATATTTCAATGTCTTCAGATAAATCGTGCACCCTGTATAACATATATTTTCTCTAACTTTAAGAATAATATGTTTAGAATATTTTCCTCTTAATTTTAGCGGAATCCTCTTGAGGCCATATATAAAAATAAAATCCTCTAAAATTTAGATAATTTTGCTTGTTCTGAAATTCCTTTTTTTGGGTGTATATTTTTTTTTAAATTCCGTTTCTAAACCTCACACAGCCGCGGACGGAATTTTCCACTGAAAAGCATTCGCTTCCCGCAACGTGTTAACATTGCCGGCATCGAACGTTCGCTATTTTGAAGGATACCTGAAGACGTATCTTCCATGTTTTGGAGTCGGTGTCTTCGATGCTCGGCACGACGCGAGAAGCCGTGGCGTGTGGGTAAGCGACTCGAATAAAGACAGGAACAAGTGCATTCAACGCGCGCGAGAACTGCATTGAAAGGCGGACTGCCTTTCCGTGGCGAAAAGCGAGCCTACGTTACTCGCGATGAATGAATTATTTCGAAATTCGCTGGTCACATGCCTAACGTTTTATTATGTCACTCTCAAAGTACAAATTTATAAGTTCGTACATTCGCGCATATCGTAACTTTTATTTTCTCTGTCGTCTCGATACAAAATGTCTATATTATGCATGCATCGGAAAAAAAGTTCTCTTTTTATTTACAGGAGACAAATACTTTTATGATCTTGCTGACCTGCGGCCGCTGAGTACTATGTATACTCATATTCCGTATTCTTGTTTTATTTTTATCGTGCGATTTGCGCGCTTTACTCGCGATGCGGCTCGAGTCGTAGCCGATGCTTCAATCAGAGAACTCAACTTCCGGGAATCAATTACAAAGTTCTCTCGTTAAACTATCGGCGACGTTGCGAGCCGCATCGGGAGGGAAGTGTTGAAATCGAATCGAGTGGAAGTCCGCGCTCGTATGGCCAACCGTCTGCGCGCGATTTCACCGGTGTGAACTAAGCTAAAAGAACGCGTCGAATGACTATGATCGAGCGAGCTAATCGGTCATCGGACAGAAGCCGAAAGTGACGGTACACGTGACGTGTCCGGCGTTGCAAGTGCGACGGAGGATTCGGTTGGAATGTGATTTCACCGAGAATCTTCCGTACGTGCTTTCATTATATTTCTACTTGTCCCCAGGTGAAGATATAATAAAGAGCTGCCGTTTACACCGCGTACCGACATTCCGACTCTGTCACGAGCGATTACCGTCTTCGTCTGAAAAAGGATCAAACGCGAACCATCATGCAAACGAGCGCACACGAGTTCTCACTTTGTGACAATAACACGCGCGCGATCGGCCGTGCATGTTGATATATGATAATTTACAATTTTCACAAAAAAAGACAACTAGCTCGTCGTCGCGGCTATAAAACGAGGGCAAGAAGATGCCTACTCTGGATACAATACGCTCAGAGGGAAGTTGACATAGATGTTGTTAGCGGTTTCCTTGATAACTTTGGCAGCGTACCATTCGGCCGTCCGGTGCATTTCGTTCATCAGTGTCTGCCATTGATATTGCAAAAATTGATCCAAATAAATGGTCATCGTCTCGTTATAACTCGCCGTTTTAGACCCCGAGATTTTATCGATTTTCAATTGCACCTGGACATTCATCACTTCAAAATGTTCCTCGCCTGTTTCCGCTTTATCGTAATTTTCACCATATATAACGACGTCGGCGGTGACGTTTCTAAAAATTGTTGTTAGTCGGCCTACTTTTATGGGCCTCGTAAAATTGGGCATCACTTGGTATTTTGTGCGCAATATAATCTGTGGGAACTTCGCCTGTAACATTATCTGATGCCTTGCGTAGCTGAAAACGAGAATGTCCAGATAGTCGAATAGCTGTTCGGCTGCTGAGATTCAGCCGCGCTCGAATTCGCGATGCAGCTTCTCCTCGGGCGAAGAAGATTATCGTTCCATTTGTCGTACGACAAGTGTCGTCGAATCTGTCAGTCGAATTTAACAATTCCCGCGAAAATTGTTTATCCGGCGACTCAGGAATTCGACGATACTCCTTGTACTACATTGCAAACCCGAGTGTGTTATTTTGACACGTATAGGCTGAAGCTTTCTTTACATGTTTCTTGTTGTCTTAAGCTACGTCATTTAATTCATTTAGACGTTATTTAGACATTATATTTTATTTTGTTTTTTATTTATTTTTTTATTTATAAAGTGATTTTTCCTATAGTCTCATATTCTGAGCCGTTTACGGGAAAAAGAGTTTCCTATAAAGCGATTAAAGTGAACTATTCATCTAAAATTTATTAAATTCTAACCGTTTTCAAGAGAATTTTCTCTTATATCAATTAATTTTCCTTTTATATGAAGAGGAATATGTTGATTTGAATGTCGGCTTCTTTTGTTTAGTCATGCTCCATCTCCAGACATGAACGAAAAAATAACCATATACTCATGGGTCAGAATATTTAGAATGCTTTTTAAAAAAGGTATATGTGTTGTTATAATAACGAAGATAATTTACCCATATTTGGTCAAATACAGTTTATAATCTATTGCAAGAAGTTAGAAAATATATTTTCTTTCTTTCAACTATGTTTCATACCATCGGTTATGATGAACATCTTTGCAGCTATGAAGCCCGTGACAAAACTGATTGGAAATTTATTTGTTATGATGGTCTTATTTCATTCGTGCTTACTTATCGTAGAACTAGAGCCAGAAGTATATTTATATATATATATATACATTACTTCTTGCTATACATTATCATAATTTTTTCAAATTAAGTAGTTTAACTAGTAAGAAAGAGAATAAAATACAGTATAGTAAGAATAAATAATAATCTCTTAAAAAAATTAAATAATTTGTGTATAAGAGGAAATTTATATTAAAATTAATAAAATTTGCATTACAGACACACATACGTACATATAACATATAATTCCTCTAACTTTTAAGTATAATGCGTTTATAATATGTTCCTTTTAATCCTAAAGGAATCCTCTTGTGGATCATCTCACAAATAAGAATAAAATCCCCTAAAATTTAAACGATTCGCTTGTTCTGAAATTACTTTTTTGGATGAAAACAACACTCGAGTTTGCAGTGATACAAGAAGGCTATTAGCTCCACATTATTACGTCTATTGTTATGTGTATTGTTGCGTGATCGACTTTAAAATCGACATCCGGGATGAGACGATCGCTTGGATCGCGCATTGCGAATGAATGTTTGTATGTCGTATGTCAATCTGCTCTATCGCGATTACTTACTTGAACCCCGTTATATCGAAGTCTGCTGCTCCGGAGATTATTATATCCGAAAACTTCGTGGTGCTTGAATATTTACCCGACATGGAAAATTCGTAAGTCGGTATACAATACGGGTTGAACGTCGGAATACCCAAAGAATAAACACCATCCTTCAAGTGAGGCTTTAATGATTCTATGCTGCGCTTTATACATACTCCTAGATCAATCTCTCTTTGGTTACAAATGTACAGTAGTGATACTAAGAACAAATTACATACTGCGTTCGCAATTACTTTCTCACACATATCAGTTTTGAAAAACACACGATTCATCGGAAGGCAGCGGGTCAACTCGAAAAATACCTCAAATTAAGTGTATCTCTCTTAGAATAGACTTCTATTCGCGAGATTAAAACGGAGTTACAAATGTTAGCTGTTCGAGAAAATTTTCGGATTTGCGAGATGATCGCACGGTTACTTACACGTAATCCCTAGATCGCGGTCAGACTTCACCATGGTCATCATGCTCATCAAAAAGATCAATAAAATAACACGCATTGTGGCTTACCGAAAAATCCTCGGTCAAATTCAAATTTAATGTTGCGTCGAAATATTGAGTGACTTTAATGCGCGAATTTCACTGTTACTCGATAATGTTCCGACTATGCGATTTCGACGACAACTAGCCAGCTCGCGTTGTTCTCGTTTCCACGTCTCTCGTTAATATATTTGTCCGACGAGTCAGGATTCGTATTTCGGACACGACGATCACGTGTACACACAATGCAAATCACGAGCGGCCTTGTGGCTTAACATTGTGCCAAGCATTTGTCGAGAGAATAATAGGGAACTTGTGAATCTACATCGAAAGTTCTCACGAAATCCTATGATCTTAGCTAAGGTGGCTACTTGAAAGGAACATACATTGCGAAGCGAATATGTAAAACGCAGTCTTTAATTTTTAAAGCATTGATAATGGGACAATTATTTGTGTCCTGCGGAAAATGAAGTGCAATGGATCGATGAATTTTGCTAGATATTATTCGAAGAGATCAAGTGATAATACATTGAGAAAGAAAAATGTTTAAAAATATTAAATATTTCTACCGTTGCCGTCGAATTTTTTCATTGTTGAAAAGAGAAAGGAAGAGAGAAGGAAAACGAGTAAGAGGAGTTATGTAGAATTACATATTATATGAAATTTCACTTGATACGTGCATAACTCTTTATTGCGTTGGTTAAATTTACAAATAAATTTGTATAATCTAAGCGCCGTTATTCACGCGAAGAAAAAATATCCAATATTGCAAACGCTCTTACATGGATTTTTTTCTCTGCGAGGAAAACAAATATTTCGCTTATTGCACGTATTCTTTTCTTTCTAGAAATTCTCAAGTATACGCGTACTTTCCGGATAATTATATACTCGAATTTATTTTACAGTCAGGACAAAATTGTTCTGGATGTTGTTTAAGATACAGCTGATGCTTCAATGAAAGAATTTATTTTTGGACCGCTAAAAAATAATTTGTCTTATTGAACCATTGACTGGTGTTGAAAATGCTCCGAAAAAAAATTGTCCAGATTGTTTCAGTTCCAAGTTTACAATCGTATTTCGTATATCCAATTTACAAAGCGTAAGGTCTTTAGCGTAGAATCTTTAGGTCTAGGAAGGATCTATATATATATTATTACCGATAAGATTGGTAACGCGAAATGGTTCAATTACAAGCGACAACTCGCGAGCTTCATCAGTTATGACGAAAGCCGAAGTGATGGTATACGAGATATCTAACATTGCAAGTATAACGAAGAAAACGCGTGGAACATAGGTATTTTTATCATACTTTTATTCATTGAATGAAAGTACAATAAAGAGATACTGTGTGCATAGTGTACTATCATGCGAGTTCTGTCACAACCGCAAACCCGCGAGCATTCGTTCGCATTTGATGCGCACCGAACCCCATTGGAAGAAAAAGCCATTTTCTAAAGCAGCGTATACGAATCTCCGTATCAAAATAATAAATGAGTAATGCACAACTAATTGTGCTAGCAAGTTACACTCATTATAAAATGATTAATCTCTTCATCATGACAATAAAATCAAGACGATGCGTTTTAACGAGACGTTAACATAACAGTTGGGAAATTCGTGTAAATCTATTCCAAATGGTCTGGATAACTCAGCTGCAATGTTTTTGATGTTATAAATTATTTCGTAAGTCAATGGATCCCACTCAAGTGCAAGATAATCATTTGCCAACTGCATTAGGTTTTCGAGTGTACCTCTTTGTTGTTTATTAGTCTTCATCCCTTCAAACTTTAAGATTGCCACGGTGACGTTGTTCACCTAAAAATATTGTTCTTCGTTCTCAAAATGCCTACCTCGTATAATAATTTCAGCAACGACGTTCCTAAAATTGCTATTTAATCTGTATCTGCTACTTTTAATAAGCGTAGGAGACGCATATGAGACGTATGCATTGAACTTGTGGACACACTGACGAATGGAAAGTGCGCCAGAAACTCAATATAATGATCCTCGACAACTCTGGAAACAAGAATTTTAGGGTAATTTTGTGCTCAGCTGGTCACAAAGCGCGTTTGGATTCACTACGTGGTCGTCTCGTTAGGCCAAGTTGTTACAATTTCTTTTGTTATACGGCGAATATTTTGCGAATATGTCAAATGATTGCTTAGCGCATTTTTAACACTCCCCTCGGACACTGTAGGAATTCTCTATCTGACAATATTCGTCGTACAAGTGAAATATTGGCTTAACAGTACTGAATAATCCGCTGATGTGTTTATGTAATGTTTAGATAATAATTATTTACCTGACTCTAGTTATCGTGAAGTTTGATATACCGTTGATATATGTATCACTAAACTTTATCATAGGGATATACTGGTTTTCGAAGGTCATCTTATAAAATTGCGTATAATATGGCTCGAAAGAAGGTATACTTAATTACGGAATTTCGAAAGAATCTATACTTAGTTACGGAACACTCTGCGCTAAGTAAGGCCTCATCGAATCCAAGCTTCGCGGTAAGCATGCTTGGAGTCGCGATTTCGGACATGTATGTAGATTTGGTACTAACAACAAAATAAAGTGTTCTTGCAATTTTTTTTTCGCATGTACATCAAAGCGGCATAAGCCGATTTTACGTTCGATCCGGGAAAACGCGCGGTTCCGCGAGAAGAAAAATCGACGCGGTTCGTCGAATATGTAAGATCGCGCGTATCTGTCATAAGATGGCCGCAGGAAAGTGAACATCATACGTGCTGATACTCGTTGGAGAATATTACTTTATCCGACAATCGCAATGTTACTTACATCTGTCCCTTAAATAGTTGGCACACATGTCCGTGATGAAGCCGCTCGTTATAACGAAAAGCGCAAAGATGGTATGCATTTTTGCGGAGAGGTTCTTGTTTCGAATTTAACGAATGCTGAACGATTTCGACGTGTAGATTTATCACCAGTGGTGATAAATAACCTTACGATTTCGACAATAATCCAGCCACTCGCGTTGTTCTCGATTTTACGACTTTCATAAACATATCGGTCCGACGCGTCGAGAGTGTATTTTAAACTCAGCGATCACGCATCAACAGGATGTAAATCACAAGTTATCTCCTTGTTCAACGTTGAGGCGAAGACGCATTGAAAGAACAACGATAAATATGTAAACACATGACGAATATTTTCGCTGAATCCTTGCAAAAGGTCTCCCTTTACAATTGTTATCCTCCGAGGCGATTATTTGGAACGAAATAATTTGTCGATTAAAATTATAACATCAGCTTTTACCTTATCGCATCGCATTTTGAGACTTAAATTGATGATGTCAGTTTTCGACTAGTTAACAATTGGAAAGATCGATTCGCGTCTACATCGGGAAATTCTGTTTGGTAGATTTTACTAAGCGAGAAAATATTTGAATATGAAAAATATATCTCCCCCGAATTTTAATAACTTCAACTCACACTGTTATCTGTTCGGGAGCGCATAAAATATTTTCCGTGAATGTTTATACACATATATAGCTTTCACGTTAAATTAGTCAAGGATTAATGTGTTATGCTTCAAATTTTTTCTTTAACATACATAACTCTTTGTTACATGTTCTCAAAATACAAAATCACTTTGTATCATACTTGTGCTACTATATTTGCGTGATAAAACTGTCAGCAATATGGAAGTGTTAGAATGATGTTTTATTTTACAAAATCGTTTATTATCATCGGTTACGTTCTAAGCTGCATTGAAAAAACCAAATCTATTCTGATTTGCATAATGGTTTGTAAATGCTATCTACGACAAAGTTAGAAGTGCATCGAATGATCAAGGTTGCTCGATGATTGATTATGACGAAGAACGATGAAGGAGCCGAAATGATAATGCAGGAGATATCATCCGACGTTACAACTCTAACGAGAGATTCGCGATGAATCTAAGTATTTTTATTAAACTTTTATCTATCAAGATAAAAGTACAATAAATTATTTATACCATGCACAGTTATTCGAATTTTGTCATAAGCGGTTGTCATGCTCGCACTTTTGATTATTTAATGCGCACCTAACATTGTCAGAAAAGACGTTTCGTAAATCGATACATGTGAATGGTTACTCGGTATGAAATAATAATTGCGTACAATTGGTTCTGAAGATAAATATTTATCATATAGTGATGGGTGCTTCGTCACTGCGATAAAATTGAGACAATTGCACGTCTAAATAAGCGTCAGCAATACGTTAATTGGATATTTCAAGAAAATTTTATTCCTCTCTCTCTCCTCTCTCCTCTCTCCTCTCTCTCTCTTTCTCTCTTTCTCTCTCACTCTCTGTTGTCCGGATAATATTAGATGCGAATAATTGAATTGAATTACATGCATGTTTCGGGAAGTTATAGCTCCCAGTTGTTTTGCTGATAGTAATTTATGTTGATGATTAATTGGGAATACCATTTACTTATTATTTCCGAGGTGGTCTTAACATCCCCTACGCTTTTGAATACCACGTTGACGTTGACGTAATAAACGTTGAAATATTTATAGGTCCTTTTCCAGTTCTCGTAATATCCACCTTGTATAGCGATGCTAGCGTTGATATTCGTCAAGTCGTTCTTTGGAAACTGGGAGATGAGAAACGCGGTCGTACTATGTATATCGTAGTTAGCTGACACATTGTTGGATGGAAAGTATGCGTTAAATTTAATCTCCTACGCAATACGTTTATAGTTGTTGAAAGAAACACTGAAAACAATTTAATGCTAGTTTTTGTGCTCACGTGATCCGTGATTGAATTCATCATGTAGATCGGTTTTGCAGAATAAGACTATCGATCGATTTTACGTTGATCCACATGGAGACAATCATCCTTCATCTGAATCATGCGTAAATTATTCAGAGATGTATCTCGACCGGTGTGCGTCAATTTATATATTAATAATGGCTTACCGAACATTATGTATCGTGAAGTCTGAAATGCCATAGATAGTTATGTCCGAAATCGATAGGAGAGTAACAGAGTCGTCTTTGGACGAAGTAAGGTACTTTTTCTGCACGATACGGGTCGAAAGACGGTAAGTCAAGCTGCGTGATGCCGATTTTCAGGAGTTATCTCATCAACTCAATACTGCGAGCTAGGTATGCATTGGCCGTTTCCTTCCGTCGCGAACATCTTTGCAGGTAAGGTATTAAGAACATAATAAACTTGCAATTTTATTTCAATACAAAAATGATAGAGAACGTAATTTCCTACGTCATTGTTTCGGTAAGCACGCGTTTCTTATGAGAAGGAAATCAACTCGATAAATGAGATCACGTGTATCTGTCGTAGGATAACATACTATATGCAAAAGAGCACCAGAGGTACGAGTGTTCACTCTTGCTTGAGAAAATTATTTCGCACAACGATCGCAGGCTTACATATCGTTGTAGGTGACTCGAATGGTCCTGGCGTGGCAAAGATGCTCATAATAGCAAGGAGAGTAAGAAAAGTACGTATTATGGCCTGAGAAAAAGGTTCTTGGTCGAATTCCAATTTAACAGGATGCCGAAGTGCCGTGCGATTTTGACGTTTGAATCTGACAGTCAATCAGCAATGCTATAATCGTGACTTTTAATTTAATCTTTAATAACTAAAAATCGTCTCGCTTTGCTCTTGTTTACATAATTTTTGCTAACATACCCGAGGTGTCA